ACACACACACAGAGAGACACACACACACATACAAACACAAACACACACATACAAACACAAACACACACACATACACACGCAAACAAACACACAAACACATTGAAATGGGCACACACTCAAACACTCATAAATTGAACACATAACAGATGCAAGCACTCACATACGCACACGCAAAACTCATGCTAAAACTAACATCACTCGCATTCGAGAGCAAGACAAGAAAATGAGTGAGACTGGGGGAGAAAAAAGGGGAATGTAAAACGGATGGCAGGTCGGTTAATTAGGAGAGAACAGGAAGGGAGGCAGGACGAAGATAGGAGACTTGAGAATGGCATTTCAGAACACACAAGGATGCTCTCGTTCCTGACTAGAATATTATGACAGGAGTAATCTACACTCTCGCATTCAACACACACATTATTATTGTCATTAACAATCAATTAAACTAATGTGCTAAACTATGTTAAAGCTAAAAGATCTTTACTTAAAAACATACAAGTCAATAAACATTATAACTATTAATCAAACATGCTAGGATACAATCAGAAAGGTAAGTCAGCATAAAATGAGAAAGTTAATTCAGTTACTTCAGATACATGCACTTCATCAAAACAAGCATAGCTAATTTCCATAATCATAGAGTTAATTAGTTAGAGCAAAAGGGATATAATGAAATGTTCCAATGAGGAAAAACTTGGAGTAGAAAACAATGCAAGGAGCAGAGAAACTAGTACCAGGTTAAAAAAAAGAAGCATTGATATTCTAGATAAAACGAAGCTTAGATGATGCGCCTAAAGCATTATATGGATGTAGTTATTAGTGATGACGCTTCTAAAGCATAAAATACATGTAGTGTATTCTAATATACTATTATAGCTAAGGGGGGAAAACACAAGCAATGCAGTAACAACAGACAAGCAAACAAAAGCGAAAGCTGTCCTGAACGTTTACTGTAACGCTTGTGATGTTTGGTGATACCTTCGTCGTGAAAGACATGCACAGCTACATACTTGTTTATTACTGTCGATTTATTCTCCTCAAGTGATCGAACTATAAACTGAAGTAGTGAAGAGGTTTTTTTGTGGGGGGGAGGGAGGGAGAAAGGGAGAGAGAGAGAGAGAGAGAGAGAGAGAGAGAGAGAGAGAGAGACCCCCACCAACTTTGGGACACAGCAAGATGAGTCAAATTTAAAAGATATATCATTCTGATAGAAGCAATGTTTCTATTTGCTCATATTCTAAGATTAATTTTGTTACTACTACAACCACTAGAACTTCTAGCTATTATGATCTCATTACTGTTAGTATTGCTATTATTATCATAACAATCATTACTTAGTTAGCATTTGTATTATTATTACTATTAGTAGTGTCTCGTACCGTGTGTTTTAAGTAAGTACCAAAAACAAATGTTCACTCGCACGTGTGGTAAGAAAAGAAGGAAATGAAAAATAAGTTAACATAACAAAATTAAAGTAAAGGAAAGTGGGAAATGATACTGCAGAGATTCTTTCAGCAGGGAAAATGACAAAATTCGAAAAACTACAGCTGAGAAAAAAAGAGGGGGTGGAGAAAGAAAGCGGAGGCAAAATAATGTTCAACCAGGACCATTTCGTACTCAAGAAATGTATCATGTAGAAAAGAGAAACGTTCGTCATAAATGCATTTATTCAGAACTTTCATACCGTTTTTGAGTTTAAAAAAACAAAAGCTATACGTAATTTTCCTGAATTTATTGTTTGCTTATATCGCTACTTTAAAAAAATACTATTTCGGGACTTTTTTGGTAAATTATATACTTGCTGTATTATTTTTATTTATAGATTTCTACATCTGTAAATCTATCTTTGTCTTTCACTATTTTGTTTCTTTTTCTGCTGTTGTTGGGTTGGGAGACTTGGATCGCTCCTCATATCATAACTATTGTTTGGTAAACGACTAGACTAGCGTTCTGGCTGAATGTGGTGGGGGAACATTGAAAAGTGAAATCACCACTAAACAGTTACCACACGATGAAATCACCAATTACAGTTACCACACGAAGAAACGTGTGCTGCTCAGCACGTGCAGTGGCATACACACACACACAACATGGTGAGGGGGGAGGGGAAGATAGGGGGGGGGGGACACAGCGCCCTTGCTAATATATTTGTGTAGCACGACAGAGGGTGTGGCAACGCTGCATTGCGTGGCGACTATACAATTGTATAATGTGGGTGTATCAAGGGAACGATGTGACCCGACGGTGTGAAGTTATTTCTTCTACTGCCTGACATCGATAACGTGTGTGGAAAGCAAGGTCACTTTAGGTGTCCAAAAGAAAGAAAAAAAATTTCCCATTAAATAAATACCTTGAAATTCCCAAGCAAAGAGGAAATACAAGGAAAAGTTGCGCAGATGAGAAGGGAGAGATATTATGGAAGAAAGTGAGAAAGTAGGAGAGAGAGAGAGAGAGAGAGAGAGAGAGAGAGAGAGAGAGTGTGTGTGTGTGTGTGTGTGTGTGTGTGTGAAAAGGAAGGGGGTGAAGGAGTGAGGTTTTCATTTATTATGAATATTGTGGGTTCTTTGAGGGTGGAAGACGGCAAAAAGTGTTTCTATGTACCAAAGAAAATTGATTTTGTGGACGGGAGAGTGACAAAATCTAAAGAAGATTGCGTGACGTTTATTAATGGAGTCTAACGTAACCGTTGA